TTATCTGCATATTTTGTGTTAGTTATACAAATTAAAATTTTTATTTTATTAATTTATGAATTAAACATAATTAATTTTAATTTTTTCATCTTCTTATTTCTCCTCATCCTTACCCTCATCTTCTTCTTCGGAATCATCTTCATCATCTTGGGTTCCTCGTGGAACCTAATGCTGGTTCACAAGGAATCCAACACGAGGAACCCAGAGGAACCCAGTGCTTGGTTCAAGGAACCCAGATCTGGGTTCCTCATGAAACCCAGATCTGGGTTCCTCATGAAACCCAGCACTGGGTTCGCGAGGAGCCCAGAGCTCCTCATGGAACCCATCTGGGTTCCTCTCAAAACCCAACATTGGGTTCCACGGGAGAACCCAGCACTGGGTTCCGCGGGGGATGCAATGAACTCGATGTGGGTTTTGCAATGAACCCAAACTTATCACCTGCAATTTCAAACTCAAACATGATATGGTTTTGCAATGAACCCGAACTTAACATCTCTAATTCAAAACTAAATATGAAAATTTATTTTCATTTTGGATAGATACACTTAAAATAAAAAAGAAAAAAAAATCAAAACCCAGCACTGGGCTCGCGTGACCCGGTGGAACCCATATCGGGTTCATTGCATCCCCTGCAGAACCCAGTGCTGGGTTCTCCCACGGAACCCAATGTTGAGTTTTGAGAGGAACCCAGATGGGTTCCACGAGGAGCTCTAGTTTCCTCACGAACCCAGTGCTGGGTTTCATGAGAAACCCAAATCTGGGTTCCTTGAACCTAGCACTGGGTTCCTTGTGCTAGGTTCCTTATGAACCCAGCATTGGGTTCCACGAGGAACCCAAGATGATGAATATGATGAGGATGATTCCGAAGAAGAAGAGGAGGGTAAGGATGAGGAGAAAAAAAAGAGGAAGAAGATGATGAAAAAATTAAAATTAATTATGTTTAATTCATAAATTAATAAAATAAAAATTTTAATTTATATAAGTGACACAAAATATTCGAATAAAATGCTTATATATATTTATAATTTTGTCCACATCATTTATAATTGTCCACGATTTTCATGTCATTTATAATATTGTTTAAATAAAAAAATGAAATAATTTCCTCAATCTTTTCCACACAGGTCAAATTCCATGTTCCTTTTTTTTTTTTTCACACGTAAGCATTTTAACAATGTGGAATGGTCATGTCACACTCTGAAATTCCCATGTGAGTTGTTTTCGTTAATTAACGTGATAGGTCGGCAAAATTTTAATGGAGGGACTAAAAAAGGGCTAGATTTTAAAATTTAGGGAT